AGCACGCAAGCGCCTCTAGTGGCTGTCAATGAGGCAGCCACTAGAGGATTAGGGGGAAGGCTTAACCCATTCATAATTATAGCAGTTTCTCTGAAACTGCTATAATTATGAAAAAATGGGTTAACCCTAGAAGGACCTGGCACCCAGACCACTTCATTAAGCTGAAGTGGTCTGGGTGCCTAGAGTGGTCCTTTAAGAAGTGGAAAATTCAGGGATCTCTTGCTACCAAGCCAAGATCAGGTAGACCAAAACAGATTTCAGCCACAATTGCCAGAAGAATTGTTTGGGATACAAAGAAAAACCCACAGGTAACCACAGGAGAAATACAGGCTGCTCCGGAAAAATATGGTGTGGTTGTTTCAAGGAGCACAATACGAAGATAAATTGAAAAAAAAACAACAAAAAAAACTGCATGGTCGAGCTGCCAGAAAGAAGCCTTTACCACGCCAATGCCACAAAAACAACCAGTTACATTATGCCCGAAACCTTAACACAGCTTGTGGTACACTAATTTAGAGTGACAAGACCAAAATAGAGCTTTAGGGTCACAACCATTAGCTCAGGGTATGCTTTGTATCACATTTGTACATTTTTGAAGTTGATTCTTACCTTTCCCTGTTAAAATAATGTGGTGATGCTCGGAAATTACACACGTCACTTATGACATCACAAGCCTTCTTTTCATCGCACTCCATTGGATTACTCACTTACATAGTTAATGGGTTCTTTTGAATTTTGAAAGTGGTCTTGAAAAAAGTCCAGTTGGGACTGGAACACTAACTTGTAATAATAACAAAGTATTTAACCAGGAAAGGCACATTCAGATTACTCTGGTTTTCAAGTACGTCCTGGGGATGTTACCTTAGCCCAACATCCAGGGGTTGTTCCGATTACCCAATTTAATGGTACTCATTTTATCTACCTTGGAATGATGAAGGGCTGAGTCAACCCTGCGACCCAAGGGCTGAACAGAAACAAGTAATGATGCATTAGCCCACTGAGCTATCTCACCGGCATACAATACTGTTGATACTGCATGAATAAAGCAGTGTTTACACCAGAAAAGTCCTATGAGTGAGCTCTGACAAGGGAATATATATATATATATATATATATATATGATGAAGTGACCTTCGCTACTTGTGCCTGGAGGGGACTACTGGCTAGCCTCCTGCCTTTCGACTATGGCCCCTGTGCTGATAGCTGTATTTTACCCCGCAGAAGGGTTTATTTGTGTATTTCTGCCGGGGCGTTCGGGACTTTCAGTATGTGAGTAGTGCTACCCCAGATAGCTATGCCATGGAGCCTATTCGTGTAACGAAAGACTATGGAAAGGACTTTGGCTCCATGGCGATTGAACTGTATGTATGTGATCTGAGCGCCATTCGGTAATAATGTGTGCTCAGATCTAAGCTATCTGGGGATATGTTACATGTATATGTTTTATGTAGTAATTGTAACATTGTGTAATTTTATGTCTTTTTGTAACCATGTGGTTAATGGAGTCTTGCCTCTGTCCTGGGAGATAATTTGATTACTTCCCAATTATCTCCAGGATAGAGAGGAGGGATTGTGATGTCACTGTGGGAGTGTTTTGTTTGTATTGTCTGTGATTGGCTAAAATCCAATATGTGTCCCATTGTTCCATTAGGTTCCCTAGGGGAGTGATCAACCTGGTGGACACTTGCATAAATACCGGGTAGGTAGCCCTCAATAAACCAGACCTACTTGCACCTTTCCTGAAGCCTTGGCTCATGCTTGGGGGAAGGGACACCTACACTCTTGGGATTGCTATAATCACTTACTCTTGTAAGAGCTTGATTTGTTCCTGCTACACTCTCTGGATTTAGGAGAGGTTTACCCACTGGATGCTGGATCCTGGTCGTGGATCCAGGGTGGGTGAGAGACGGCAAGACCACGGAGCAGCTGCATCGCTGGAAGTGGGGTCCGCAGTGCTGATGGTGTCGGTTGGAGTGCTCGAAGTCTTCGGCAAGCGCTAGGAGCATCGATTGGCGGAGGTACTCAGTCGGAGTGCCAGCGGTCCGTCACAATATATATATATAAAACTTCTAGATGTATTTTATAAATAAAAAAAATAATTGTTTTTTAATTAAATATTGGGGACCTATAATACTGATAATTTAATATGCAAGCCCTATATTTGACCATGTAACTTTACAAAACCCCATTAAACCTGTACATGAAGTGCACTGTTGTACTTGTGAGAAGTATGATGACAATGACTTTGGCCTCAAACTTTGGCCAGGATGTATGTCTACTAAAACAGACTGGACATATCACATTTTAAATACCCTGGGTTGTGTACTATTACAAATGGTATGCCAAGATTGGGGTAATTATCATTCCTGGGTTGTCATGTGGTCTCAAAAGGCAACATAAGCTCTGCAAGGCAATCTGGCAAATTTTAATGTGTAAAAACGAAAATGGGCAAGCTCTTTATTTGACCCTGCAACTTTCCAAAACACCACATGGGGAGCACCATTGTACTTGTGGGACATCACATCCTACAAATATGTGTTTTATTGCAGTAAAAGCAAACAGTATTATGTCATTCACAGTTAAAAATGCAAATCAGAAAACACCCAAACATTTATCTCACTTTTTTTTTAGAATTTATCTATATTAAAAAATATTTGATATTAACAAAATGACATATTATAAGTGTGGATAAAAGTAAAATTAAAGAGGTAAATCATAACAGACATGTAGCTCAAATTGTAATTTTTGTTGGTCAGAACTTGTACAATTGAATCTGTCCTTAAGCGGTTAAAGTACTTACAGATGTCTGTGTGGCATAATGATAGTATAAACCAAGCTCCCTTGCAGATATTAGGGTGTCCAGAGCCCTTGCTTGTGAATAACGCTCACTCATGCAAGATATGTGCAACAAGCCAAACCCCGATAAAATAAAATAAACCACACACAAAAAGCAAAAAAGAGAAACCAACACCAATAGTAGAGGCATGTATGCACATAAACCTAATAAGTGAAAAATAACTGACTTCATATCAAGGTGAACAATGCACAGATTTAATTAATTATGAATATACATACAGATTTAAATGCATGTAACCTGACCAATAGGTAAATCACAAAGTAATAGAACTACAAAAAGGTCATATAACAGGTCAATATATTATAGTAGTACACAAATGCAAATAACATGCAAAATATTTATTACATTACCCTGTAGCAATATCCTAAGATATGAACACATCTGATATAAATATTAGGATTCCTTTAAAGAAGATGAAACATCTGACCACAATATATATATATATATATATATATATATATATCCATTTTTGATCCTTTAAGTTGCTTTGTTTTAGTGTGAAGCAGCCCTTTTCATTTTCAGTTCTTAATAATTTGTATGACCCTATTGTATATATTCTATCTTGTCTACTGGACTAATACGGCTAATCCAGTGTGTGTGTGTGTGTATATATATATATATATATATATAGAGAGATAGAGAGAGAGAGAGAGAGAGAGAGAGAGAGAAATTTACTCATACTTACTGTAATTTTCTTTTCCTGGTCATAGGCCATGGCAGCACAACAATGGGGTAGCTCCTCCCATTTCCCTAATTAGACAGGAACTAATTAAAATGTACAAATACCCTCTCCTACCTCCTCCTCCATCAGTCTTGTTAACAGCATAATCCCAGGGTGGGATCTTTGTGCTGCCATGGCCTATGACCAGGAAAAGAAAATTACGGTAAGTATGAGTAAATTTTTCTCTTTTCTGGTCATATCCATGGCAGCACAACAATGGGTAATACCAGAGCTAAAACCAAGGGAGGGAAAAGAGAAACTCAGATAATAAATCATATGATGCAAGTGTATTAGTACAATCAACCATACGTGACAAACCATGAAAGAGGATTAACTTAATCATTAGATGCAGAAAGAACAGATCTGCCAAAATCATCGGAATGACCAGCCTTTACGTCTAAACGATAATGTCTGATAAAAATATTAGAAGGCGACCAAGTAGCTGCTTTGCAAATCAGTTCTTTAGAAACCTTTGCTACTGCTGACCAGGATGAGGATAGAGAACATGTATAGTGTGCTTTTAAACCTTCAGGGATCCTTGTCTTGGATGCTTTAAAGGCTTGAATAATAGCTGAAACAATCCATCTACTGATGTTGGCTTTATAGGCTTGAAGGAATGACTAAAAGCCTTTTAGAAATGCACCATTCCGAAGATCTCTGCACATAGATCTTGAGGCACCTCACTAAGTCAATAGCGTAACAATCCGGGTCCTCTCTGTAATTAGGTTCTTCTGAATGTAATGCTGGTAGCACTATATCCTCATTCATATGGAACCCCGAAGTAACCTTAGGACGGAAGTCAGGGACTGTTCTCAGAATAACTGTCTTTATGGAAAATAGTAAAAGGTTCCTCAGAAGATAGAGCCTGAAGATCTGATACCCTTTTACCAGAAGCTAAGGCTACTAATAAAACCATCTTGATGGTGAGCAGATGATAAGAAATAGATTCCAATGGTTCAAACGGATCTGCTTTGAGAGCTTTCAGAACAGTGGTAAATCCCAAGGTGGAGTAATAGGTTTAATAGGAGGCTTGATTTTTAAGACTGCCATCATGAATTTTACTATGTCAGCATCAAAGGCCCATTTTTGATTAGTTAAAGCTGAGAGGGCTGAAATATGAACTTTCATAGTGTTATAACTTAACCCTTTCTCCAAATATCTTTGGTTGATGGCTTCTGAATATTCACATGCTTTGAACTGGACCAAGAAGAAAATACATCACAGACTCTGTAGTAAGTTGATGAAGTAGACTTCTTCCTTGCCTGTAAAAGGGTATCAATTATTGCTTGTGAGAACCCCTTGCTTCTTAACCCTTCCCTTTCAAGTACCAAGCGATCAGATGAAGGGATGCTGGATTTGGATGAAGGATGGGACCCTGTTGCAGTAGGAATGAAACTTCCGGTAGACGCCATGGGCCTTTCTTGCAGAGACTTAATAGAAGAGGAAACCAAGGTCTGCGTGGCCAAAAGGGGGCTATCAGAATTAAAGATACCTTCTCTTGTCGTAGTCTCCTCAGAAGTGGGAAAATGAGAGGAGTCGGAGGGAATGCATAGGCTAGATTGAATTCCCAATTGCATGATAGTGCATCTCTTCCCATAGCTTGAGGATTCACAATTTTTGAAAAGAAATTCTTTACCTTTCTGTTGTTGCTACTTGTGGAAGACCCCATTCTTCTGTAATCTGTAGAAATATCTTGTCCGAAAGACTCCATTCTCCTAGGTCTATCTTTACCCTGCTGAGAAAGTCGGCTACCGAATTTTGTTTTCCTGGGAGGTGAACGGCTGAGATGCCTTCCAAATGCATTTGTGCCCAGGACATAAGAGATCTCATTATGTTCATCATCCTGCGACTCCGTGTCCCTCCTTGATGATTTATAAATGCTACTATCGTGGCATTGTCTGTTTTGATCTTGACCCACTTGTGAAGTAGAAGCAGTTGGAAGTGTTTTGGGGCTTTGGAGACTGCAAGAAGCTCTAGGAGATTCGAAGGAGTATTTGTTGAAGGAAAATACAATTTCCCTTGTACATAGTTGTCTTGAAGGTGGGCATCTGAAGAAAAGAATTTCTCTTGGTATGACTCCATATCCATTGATTCGTCAGATGAATAATCCAAAGGGTCATTGAACCTGGGTCTTTTGGTTCTTGTGCCTGCTTCTTTAATACCTTGAGAAACCACTTGCTTTATAAACTGCATAATATCAGAGGAAGGATTAGATGTGTTGTCTGCTTCCGATAAACATTCTGCACATAAACATTTGTCTTTTATCACAGGCTTCGCACCGTTTCTTTTTTGGTGATTTTTCTTTGGATGATCTCACTGTTTTCCGTCCTGTAGAACTATCATGACAGGGAAACATATCATATTAGCTCTCTTTTGTTTTTGTTTTTAACTTATTTGACATAAATAATTGAAGGGATGACATGGCTTACCTATAACTCTTTGAATGTGACCTATTTTTATATCCAGAGGAGTCTGAATCAGAAGAGATTGTTCCCCTTTTTTCCTTTCTCCATTTTGGTATGATGGAATAACTAAGAAAATGAATTAATCAGTATGCAAAAGAAGAAAGAGGAGGAAAGGTAAAAATATTTTTTAATTTGTATATACACCTTTAAAAAAGGAAACATACCTTGAGAATAAAGAGAATTGTAAAATTAAAAAACTGCTCAAATTTGAACAAAACCGCTTCTCTGGAATGTCCTGGAACCTGAAGTGGACAACAGGTAATGTAAAATTCCATTTTGCCACTTAAATAGGTGTGTGACGTCATTAGTGACCTCACGATATTCCTTGCGCATGCTCAGATCGAAACCTCGCAGTTTTGGCCATTGCGCATGTGCGGAAAACGGAGACCGGCAAGATGAAACCCAAAGGTAATTCCTGTAACTTACTACATTGCGGGTGATGATTTCGCTATACGTGAACATTTGAGATAGAGAAATAAAAGATTTATCTCCCCTTTTTAATTGCGATGATATTAGATACCGTGCACATGCGCGAATCTCGTGCGGAACAAAAATTGCCGAAAAGATACCTTTTAAACTTTCAGACATCCTTTTGTACGGATGGAAAAATGTGAAAGGAACAAAGGTAAATAGGCAGGAGGGGGAACCCACATATAGAGGCATACAAAATACATAATATAAGAGTATTTTATGTATACATACATGTAGGTCTTCAACATGGAGTAATATAAAGATGTTTCCAGGATAAAATCTTCTTGCCACTTCCTGCTACCTCTTGGTTACTGCAGGGAATAAGATATTTGGTGTTTTTTCTCTTGCTACCCCTAGGGTCACAGCAAGTAAACCCCCGGTCACTAAGGGGGTATCTTCAGGGGGACACCTTTGCGCAGGGCCGGATACTGAAGCTTCCCAAGGAAGAGAGGCTGAACTCCCTTGGGGACAGAAGGTAAAGACCCTCCGGTAAGCCAAAAAGAAAAACTGGTTATAGTCCTGAAATAGACTAATTTGGTCCTATAGGGATAGGACAGGAACAAAAGACTGAGGGAGGAGGAGGTATTTGTACCTTTCTTTTAATTAGTTCCTGTCTAATTAGGGATAGGGGAGGAGCTACCCCATTGTTGTGCTGCCATGGAAATGGCCAGAAAAAAAAAAAAATTATATATATATATATATATATATATACACACACACACACCCACACATACACACACTGGATTAGCCGTATTAGTCCGGTAGACAAGATATAAATTATACAAATATACAATAGGGTCAATACAAACACAATGGATGGAGCAGTTTTTGTTCTTTCCTCTTCTCCAATATATTGCTGCAGAAATAGAGAAATATGCAAAATAGTGTAGACAGTTTACAATATATATTAAAGTGCAATAAGTGCAAGGAAACACTCACAAAATCAGAGCCAAGGAACCTGGCTCTGGTATAGGTGACTTCTGGATCTATTATGGAGTGATCCTGACCCTTCTGTAGCTGGTATGGTCTCCAATAAGTAGAAGAGGATCCAGAGGATGGAATAATAAAAAACTACTTTATTACAAAAATATATACATAAAATTATAAATAAAATATGGAAGAATAAAATATAAGTACTAAATGATAAGCCAATACGCGTTTCGCCAATTGTGGCTTCCTCAGTCAGCTTTCAACAATACTGTCCAGATAGTGTCCTTATATAAGTCCTCAGTACCTTGTATTTTGCGGGAAAATCCGTTGTGGAACGCATTCGTGCGTTCCATATCTCCGTTTGCATTCATTTCCTACTTCCGGCGGCGCCAATAATGTGACGTCACTTCCGCATTCTGACGTCACTTCCGGGGTTTCTCTCCGAGTGGAACGCATAGTGCGTTCCACTCGGTCTGCTATCTCCGGCTCTCATAACAGGGCACTTCAATGGAACGCATATATGCGTTCCAAAACTCCCACTGGTCTCCCTCCACCATCGCAATGCTTCATACACTTTCAGTTCACACAATAGGGCGCAAATATGTGTTCCAAACTCTTCTTAGTTTCTCTCCACACACCATATCTCATGTACATAGGAACAAGGGCATGCTTAGATATGTTTTAAAACATAATATATTCATATGTCTCTGTGAGTAATCATAATAAGCACCAATTAGTTCAACTAGAATGTAAACAATCATAGTAAATACCAATTTATCACTTTGACATATTATTCCAGCTTGAATACAATCATATATTTAAACTCCCGGTCCTTAAAGTGACCATGCTCCTTTTGTAAGAACAGTGAATTTAAAAAGACAGTGAATTTAAAAGGACAGTGAATTTTTCATAAAGTGACCATGCAAATATTACCAAAGTGCATATACAGGTGGTAAAATACCTACAATAATTTAATATCTTTCTAATATTCTTTGTTTAAAGTTACATATACTTAATGTTATTGTATATAAAAAAAAAAAAAAAAAAAAAGAGTTTTATCCTTATTCTTTCCTCCTTATATATTATAATATACTAAGGTATAATGAAACTATCAATCAATTTATAAGAAGTGACATAACTCAAAATCTTGATTGAGTCCATTTGGGATTAATGTTTTTAAGTTGTAAATACACATCATCTCCTCTTCCCCAATTTTTTTATTAAAATCGCCCCCCCTCCAATCTCTGTGTACTGCTTTTATTGCACAAAAGGACATCTTTTTTGGATCTTTATTGTGATATAAATTAAAATGATTTGAAATGCTATGTGTGCCCAATCCTTTTTTTATATTTCTGATATGTTCTTCGATCCTTATGTGTACATTTCTAATTGTTCTTCCTACATATATGAGGTCACAAGGACATTTTAAAATATAGATAACATTTTTAGAGAAACATGTTAACTGGTTTCTTATCATGAATGTTTTATCTTTTTGGTACTGAAAGGAGGTGATGTGTCTTTTCTTTTGGTTGGTTTCCCTACAGGCTAGGCAAGAACCGCATCCGTAAAAACCTTTATTTTTATTTAAAAAATGTTCTTTGTGTTTAGTGGTAAAACTGCTTTTCACAACTATTTGCTTTAAATTTTTACACCCTCTATATACTACCATTGGTTTAGAAGGTAGAATTTGTTTCAAAATAGGATCATCTTGTAATATAGACCAATGTTTATGGATAATTCTTCTTATCTTTGTATTATTTCCACTGTGGTTACATATAAAGGGAATTTTTAATTGACCAGTATTTTTCGAATCTCTTTTCTTTTTTTTTATATTCCCTTTATATCTAATGAGGTCTTTTATTTTTGTTAGTTTAACCTCTTCCATACAGGTTGTTAACTTTATTGGATTATATCCTTTCTCCACAAATTGTTCTTTGATTTTTTCAGCTTGTGTGATGTAGTCATTATCCTGGGTGCAATTGCGTCTTATTCTTAAAAATTGGCTTTTAGGAGCGTTGTCTAACCAGGAGGTATGATGACAACTATTCTTTTCAATATAACTATTTGCAGCTACTTCTTTAAAATGATTCCTTGTATGTAACTTTGATTCTGCTAAAAAAATTTCTAAGTCTAAAAAATTTATTTGGTTGTTACTATACGTGGACGTTAAAATAATTCCCCACTCATTTTGATTTAAATCTTCTAAAAACTTAATAAGTTGCGTTTCACTATCTTTCCATATAAAGAAAATATCATCGATGTAGCGGCGATAGGACACTAAGTTCGCAGATTGTGCATTATGGGTAACTATTGTTTCTTCCCAATATGCCATAAACAAATTTGCATAGCTTGGCGCGAACTTAGTGCCCATCGCCGTACCTGTAATTTGTAAGAAAAAAGAATCTTTAAACCAAAGATAATTGTTTGTTAAAATTAATAAAATGCCTTCTAATATAAAATCTATTTGTATCTCTTTAAAATCAGATTTCTTTAAAAAATGTTTTATTGCCTTAATTCCCAGATGGTGAGGTATAATGCTATATAATGAATTGACATCGCAAGTTACTAATAAATAATTTTCTTGCCATTCAATTTCGTCAAGAGTTTGCAGCATATGGATAGTGTCTTTTAAATAAGATGGATTCTTAACCACAATTGGTTGTAACAATCTATCTATATATTCCGAAACTCTTGAGGAGATAGAGTCTATGCCCGAGATAATTGGTCTACCTGGGGGGTTATCTTTATTTTTATGAACTTTGGGTAGGTAATAGAAAACTGGTGTTTTTGGGTGTGTGATAGATAAATATTTTGTTTCTTCCTCTGTTAGAATTCCCAGTGTGTTACCTTTTGTAATATAATTTTTAAATTTTTCTTGTATATTCTGGCTTGGATTCGTATTGATCTTTTTATATGTATTTATATCTAATAAGATTCTTTCCGCTTCTTTCACATAATCATTTGTATTTAATATTACCACTCCCCCTCCTTTATCTGCAGGTTTGATAATGACAATAGGGTCATAATACAAATTATTAAGAACTGAAAATGAAAAGGGCTGCTTCACACTAAAACAAAACAACTTAAAGGATCAAAAATGTATATATATATATATATATATATATATATCTGCTAAAAAAAGATGATAGAATCCATATAAAATATACATTTTAATGAAACAAGTACATAATAAGTTAAAACATAAAATGCAACAATGATACAATTAGTGAACAAGTTAAAAAAAAAAAGTGTATGTCAACAACACTGTGTACTCTATAATGTGCAAAATATTCCCCCCCCCCCAAAAAAAAAAATCTAAAGCACAGATTAACCACAGCAATAATACATAAAATCCTATATGGATATAAGTAAATCAGATACTCCAGTAAAGATACTTATCAATGGACGGGCCCCTCCACGAGTCCTGGACCCAATGTATACAGGAGATCGATGAATGAGTCGGGGAAGCCCAGTGAGCTCAACCCCAGATGCTCACGGTTTCAGTTATGAGACGAAAAGCGTAGACGGTCCACGTCTGATCCCTGTACCTTAGCTGCAGGCTTTTTTGAAGTTACCGGCTGCGGCTTTTCCACCCGCTGCCAGCTTGGTGTGCTCCAACGCGGCACCCAGTCAGAACTCAACATGTCTCCGATCGCACAGCTCACCACATGTGTGACTGGTGAGCATCTGTGCCATTTAACCTGGAGCATCTGTGGTTGAGCTCGCTGGGCATCTCAGGATCATCCATCGATCTCTGGTCCCCTCAAAATGTCTGATGTTGTGTGCCTATACACACACACACACACACACACACTTAAGACAATTATAACAATTATACAGCATTAAAGAAAATCATCTTACAAAGTTATTAGTGATTTAATAACCGGTAATACAGCATGCATGGTGCAAAATATGGGGAGCACGGTGGAGGGAAGAAAACAATGCTACATACTAACATAATGAGACATGGTTTTCTGCCAATTTACATAGCAATCACATCATTTACTTCATCCAAAACCATCATATTATAACTAACAGGAATGAAGTAGTGATAACACTGATAAGAAGAAAGATGAAGAAACCAGATATAGATATGGTTAAATATAATCTAATGCCGCACCAGGACCTACGTGTCCACTACCATGCTGAAGACTCCGCTCATCATCCACATCAGGCACAGGGGTCCTGGTCTTCGGACTGCCACCCTGACAGTTGGCCATAGGCATACATGGAGTTCGTGGAGTGGACTTTTGTAGCTTTTCTGTCCTGCTCTAATTCTGTTCTGCCTGGGATTCCTGCTTTCAAGTGATCCTGTACCTGGACCTGTCTGCTTTAAGATGACTTCCTCATTTTCTGTTCTGTTTTTCTGATACCTGCTCTGGATGAGGTTTATCTGATAAGCAGCATGTTCTCTGCAGTTGAGATCTTGAGATGTTGTGTTCCAGATTCTGTTTCCTGGCAGTGCTCCTGTTCTTGAGTGGACCTTCTTTCCTGGCTGGTGGTTCCTTTGCTGGAGACCTCTCTGTTGTAAGCGGAGTGGTTCTGGAGGCATTGAGAGCCGTGAACTCCACTCCTGGTTATCTAGGTTGAAGATGGGGATTCCTTGCTTTTGTAAGTCTTGAAGTCTTAGCCCCTGGATCCTCATTCCTTTCTTGGTCTCTGTTGGAGAGCTGTTTGTCGCACCCGGAGGTCGCTCCTTAAGAGGGGAGTTATGTCAGCATCTGTTGTGCTCTGTTCTGATGTCTGACCATGGCTTCTGGTATCCAGTACTCTTTTTACAATTCTTGTTTAGTTTTTCTGTTTTTTTTGGTTTTCTATTCTATGTCTGGTTTTCTTTTTGCTGGGATTTCTGGGTTCATTTCTGTAATCTGTCCCTGGATTTCCAAGTCCCTTGGGTTCATTTAAATGTTTGTTTTATGTTGCCACACCCGTTTGTTTTCCATCATTCCTTTTGTTTTAGTGTTCCTGCGGGCAGCTGCTCAAGTCTTCTGCCCTTTCTTGCAGCTAAGTATGCATTATGTTATGTTAATGTTTCCCATATGTATTGTGTGCATGTTCTGGGTTTAGCTTTCTGTCCTTCTCTGGTTCTGGGTTCTAATAGTTTTGTCTTGTTTTCTTGTTTGGTGTCTATCCTAGCCTTATCTTGTTTCTAGTACTGGATACAGCTCAGCATATGTCTGCTCTGGCTTCCACTAAACTGCTACAGGGTCTTGGTTTGTGGCCGCACAAGCACTGGTACTCAACACCAGGGGGCGTTTAGTTACCCTGCACCAGGACCTACGTGTCCACTACCACACTGAAGACTCCGCTCATCATCCTCATCAGGCACAGGGGTACCTGGTCTTCGAACTGCCACCCTGACACAAGTAAACAATAAATTTAGATTGACAATTACAAAAATCACGAATAGTGTACTTTCTTACTGTTCTGGGCTGAAATAAATGATTACCAGTAATAATCCCATTGCAATTTGTGCATTGGCCACAATAATACATACCTGCCGTGGCGGATAACAATGTGCCCCCACTCTCTTCACATCCTTCCACTTTCACAT